GACCACAGTGATCATGACCATAGTACACATGACCATAGTGATCATGACCATAGTACACATGACCATAGTGATCATGACCACAGTGATCATGACCATAGTGATCATGACCAAAGTGAACATGACAGCCCCTACAATCATGTACAGACTGGCACAGACATTCCTCTCATCGACCAGGAACAGGTACCCTCTGTCCGCTCGGGTCCACCCCCACTCCCTCAGGTGACCTCTCCTGCCCCAATAGAAAGCAGGACAAAGAAACCCAGAAATTCAGCGCGGGTACGAGGACAGCGTGGGCGAAACAAAACCACTTCTCTCATATCTCCATCTGACGATCATGACCACAAACATGGACACGGACACAGTCAATCTCATAAACATAGAAGAGAAGCACCAGGAGGGCTCGCCACCCCCACTATGCCATTCCCTGTCCTGCCTGGGCATCCAGGTGGATTTTTACATCAACATGAGGAGGTAGGACTTCTTTAAACCAACAGTCCTCTGTTATCTTTCACGTGTTATACACCAAAACACTACAAGGACTTGTTTTTCCTGTGTCTATGCACAAATTAATAGAAATCTTATTTGTTAGGAAATGTACTCCTGTTGATGATCAGCAGTAATAAGGATTACTTAACAATAGCAATATCATAGTTACATGATATTTCACGTTTACAATTGTAACTAGAATTTATTTTGTTGCTGTGATTTAATTTTCATTTGAGTTGATTAGATTCATGTTATTTTGATGTTTTTGGTTTCCCAAGACAGTGGGTCTCAACCTTTTTGATGTTGCGACCCGACAGCATAAACTGGCTGGAGCAAGCTTGCAAGCCGCATCTGAAGTGGAGCCATTCATGGAATTTCTGTGATGCCACATGAAACCAATTTCACAAAATGAATATTTTTTTAGTTTTGTCACAAACGTCCATTCTGAAGCAGATCTCATTTAATGTTAAAACTATTCCCAGTCTAAAATATGCAATTTTATTTTGATTATATCATATTGGTTTGTTTTCTCCACATCCCTCTGGCAACCCCCAAAATGTATCTTGCGATCCACTTGGTGGTCGGGATCCTCAGGTTGAGACACTGTCCTAGGAGTTCATATTAGTATTTAAGAAACTTGTCTTGATTGTGACTAATGAGTTGTCTTCCCCTCATGCTTACTTGCCTACTGTTTCCTTCTCCAGTGTTTGAACCTGACGGAGCTCCTCACCTATTATGGCTTGAATCCTGAATCACTAATCTCCCCCAGCCAGTTCACCTACCTGTGTCCTGCCCTGCTCTACCAGATTGATAGCCGCGTTTGCATCCGCCATTACCACCAGATGGATGTCGAGCAGGAAGCCTTGGAGAACGTCCCTTCTGGTAAGAGCCTAGAGTTCTATCGATCCTGTCTGTTTTGAGTGAAAAGACGTTTTGTAGAAAGCAACAAACAATAAGTGTACGTGTAAACACTGTTAAGAGCCCAGTCTGAAGCAGTCGAGACCTCATGATGGTCTAAGACCCAAATCAAGTTACAGCCAACAGACTGATAAAACACACTCAGTGTCTGTTTGGTTGTTGTTTTGGGTAGGCTTTCTGTTTTTCTGTGAGGATGTTCCACAGTGAGAATATGAAGGACAGAAAAAAGCAGCACATATCCTCATTATACATGTGACGGACAAGGACAGGAAGAGCCTGCAGCTCTCTTACTGCACAAAACTAATGTCCTGACAAAATAAAAGTTTTGTGCTTTAAACACACAGTTTTTCTTAAGCAGTATTGTTTCCATGATGTTTGTGCCTATTGTAGTTTTGTAATAGTGATATCTCACTGTTTAGTCTTATGCCATTGATTTTTTTGGGGGGGGGGGTTGGTACAATTGATCAGCAGCTCAGGAAATCAGAAACAAAATAGTTTGAGCACAAGCGCACAGTTTGAGCACAAGCAGAACAAATCCAAGCCCAAGCAGGGGCTGTTTGAGTTTTGAGTGAAAGCATTATAAAATCTGAACATGAAATCTATAAGTGCTGCTCTCAAACTAAAAGGCCACGCTCTTGAATAAAAAAAGAAAGAAAAAAAAACATACCTAGCGTGCTGAGCAGTGTAGTCAGAACCTAATAGTCATGATGATCACTGCATTGAATGTACCTCACTGACCTTACCAGAAAACAAAAGATAAGATGAATGGAATTGTATTCAAAGTGAAACTAGTTGAGGAAAAACATGTATAGTGATAAGAATTTGTGAAAGGAAAAAAAACAAACTGTTATCTGTAAGTTATTGTCTTCATCTGATGCTGTGGGCTGGAAGAAACGGCTGTCTTCATGAGAGGGAAACCACAGGGACCATTGTGGTGACACAGTGATGTTATCAGGATGTATAACCTAGAGGTCCTTTCTAGGGGAAGAGTAGCACCTGCATAATTGAAGGTTTAGTTGAACTAATCAAGCCATATTTTATAGCGATGATAATAACGGAGGTGAATCAAAAACTGTGACCATCATCCCAACTGTTATAGGCTCCTTCGTTTCTCATTTCATTTCATTTTCACTCCATGCGCAAGACAGTCCCTCTGTGGGTGAGGATGACTTTTCTCCCCCATTTTCTATTATCCAGAGCAGCAGTGAATTTTTAGAGAATATTTTTAACACTGATATAAGTTTAAAAAAACAAGGTAATTAAAAGTCAGTGCAAGTTTTACAGCACACCAGAGACCCCAAGATACAAATAACAGATTGTCTCTGACTAGTCTCCAGCGTGTTGTTTTTCAACACCATAATCACTTATTTCACTTTTATTTATAGATGAACAAAGAATCATTCTGATGTCTGCTAATGTGAGACTGGAGGCTTGAATATTTTTTAGTTTGAGAATTAGTGACAGTTTAAAAAGCTCTTTGTCTGATCCAAAGGGAGACTGCAACTAAGGGGAATGGTTTATGCTGAGTCTGGCGTTCCGAGGGAGATTCATGGACAGCTTAGTACAAGTCCAAGGGTTAGTGGGGGTCAGGTTTCAAGGCTGGCTGGATACTGCTGTTCAGATTGGATGTTGTAGATGTAAGAAAAAGGTGGGCGAGGCAGGACACAGTCAAACAGGTTGAGTACAACACAGCGGGAGATTCTCTGCTTATACGCAACAGCAACGAATACTCTGGAGGAATCAGGTGAGGGCTGGTGTAGCAGGCAGAGCCAGGATGTAACTTATTGATTCTTCTGCAGAGATCATATGTTTGAACACCACAATGACGCCGGCGTCGGCTCTTATCACCAAAAGCTCTCTTGACATCTTCGTCCATGTCTTCCATGCGTATCGCACCGTTTTTTCGTGTGGAAATATTTATTGTCTTTATGTTTATTTTTTATTTTTGCATCTGTCGCGTCCAGTATCTCCGTCACAGTCATTTCACCAGGTTTCTCGTAACCCACATCTGTTTTTTTCAGGAAATTCTGCTTTGTACATATCCTCTGTTGAAAGAATCGAGTCTTCCAAAGAAGTGGTCTGTGACTTAATGACTTACTCATACACACATTGATCAACACAGTGGATCACTCTTTTACTCACCCACATTTTCTTTTACAGTCTTTAAGGTAAACTCCAGTTACATGCATTCACCTTGAATAAAAACCAGCATGGCTCTCGGTTCTGGTGAAATAATGAGCGGCAAAACATGGTGGTTATTTTTAGATGTGGATGTAGATGCTTGAAGTATTTATCATAATCATATTAGTTCATTTATTTTTTCAGCCAGTCCTAAGTCCCAGTGAGCATTATGCATATAGCTACTGGCCAACTCAGCAGGTGATGAGAGGCAGTCTGGCTAAGCCACACTAATGTGTTCTTGGTCACCCATGAGGAGAGAGAGGTGTCTGTCATGTGATGGACACTGAATAAGAACCATTCCCTCTGTCATAGAGGGTGAATGATTGACAATGTGTGCCATGGTTATTGTGTTATCCAGCAGTGAGCAAGTGGCTCTATCATGTGTTAACCATTCGGAAATTGGACAATAACTTTTCACCCACCTCACTTATGTTTGGAAAAAGACCCTAACCCTCCCAATAATCTCTTTTTCTCTCTTGTGGCTCTGCACGTCTCTGACTCACAGAGAAAACCAAGACATGAACTATAAGCTGTAAAGAATGAAGGTCAGTGTTAAAGGCTGCTCTGGGACTGCACTGTGTTTGCAGGTTTATGAGAGTGCAAATTATAAAATCACAGTGTTTTAAAGTTAATGAGTTACAGGTCATGAAATAAAGTTAGCAAGGCCATAAAATGCTCGCTACAAATCAAATCAGCTCACACAACCATAGAACTGGCTGAAAATCTAGGGGGCCTGCAGGATTTGTGTGTTATGGTTCTGTGTGTAAACCGCTCCATACCTGCAGTGAAAATTCATTGGGAACCTGTATCATAATCAATCTGACCATGCTGCACTTGCTGTATTGTTAAATCGTTATTACGCCTGCAGTGTAATTGGATTTTAGTTTAGATTTAAGTTATGCAAAGTGGGTAAGAAGCTGTGGAGCTGTCACTGTAAACAATGGACAACATGGCAAGTGTGGGGTCTTGAGACTTTCAGCACAACCTGAATCCATTTTTAATAGAGGAAGAATGCACTGTTTCTATTTAAGACAAAAAATCATCCTAGCTGCAAATGTGTTATAGTTTTGCACTTGGGTTGGAATCACACTGTCAGAGCAGGAGGTACCTCAGTTCAACTGTGAGAAAAGAAGAATTTCCTAAATGTGCGCCCTGTTAGAACTTTAATTATTGAACACACCCGACCCTCAGGAGACACCTGCATCTCATGTGCCTCAGGCGGCAGCGTGCCGCCACTGAAAGCAGTCATAAAAATGGTAATGACCAGGAGGAAGACAGCACGAACAAGTCAAAAGGGCAGGAATGACTCCTCATTAGTGGAAAACTAAAGGCTCTGGATTCTCTGTATTGGTGCACCAAGATTCAACCATAGATGCTGCCAAACGCGGCTGAGCTACCTCTCGTTTAACTCCTGCCGGCATCGATGGGGGAGCTCGGAATATTTGCAGTTGTTTTCCTTCTGGTCCCCACACCCCTCTCTTTTTTATGCTGTGCCAATTAGGAGAGCCTTTAAGCGACACCCGGGACCCCTTTTTTTTTTTTGCCATGGCTCAAAGGAAATGCGTAATTGGAGAGACGACACAGACCAGCGGGTCTTCTTCTCCGTTCTTCTGTTCCCTGATCACAGCCTTCTATCTTCCCGCCGCAACCCCCTGCCCACCTTACCATCCACACACACACACACACACACCCACACACAAAACCATAACTGCATAAAGGTAATGAGACAGAGCAGTAGATGAGCTGCACCGCTGTGAAGGACCTGATGTACTGTCTGGCTGATACAGTCGCCTCTCAGGGTTAGACAGTGTTCCGCTTGATGCGAAAAATAAGAAAGCAGTCAGCTGTTGCATCTTTACTTTTGTACGGTACAGTGAAAATGATTTTAACAGTAAAAGGAGAAGGTGGAAGTTGTTAAAGATACTTCAAACTATGATGAGGGGATGATTTGAGCTCGTCCACTTTGCCCTTCGTCATGACGAGTCTCTCATCAGAACACATACATGCAATCAACTTGCACTTAACAGACTGCTGATTTTCTACTCTATATATGAAGCTAAGAGCATTCCTCTGCTCTTATGGAAAACCAGACAATATACCAGCCAATTATGGTATTACAAAAGAAACAAAAAACGAAGCCTTAGTCTTTTTTAGAATGCTGTCCCAGTGTTGCTTTGAAAATATGTTGTGAACAACATTTAGTCCATTATTAAGCCTCTCTCTAAGTCAGCAGAAAGTGAAGGGGTTATTATAATACTGTGGGACACTGAAGCGGGGGCCACGCTCCTGGAGTTTTTCACGTAAACCTCTAATCTTACAGCAACCTTTAATCTTTCAACAGAGATAAACACTCTCACTCTGTTTTACTACAACCTGGATTGAGCATGTATGCACAAGGCAAATGCACAAAACAAGATTTACAAATACTAAAGAAATACTCACATAGTTATACAACAACACAAAACTGCTTGGATAGATGTCAATAACTCCTGAGTTTTTCAAATTAAAGAAACAACCTGACACATATAAGGTAGAAAGGCCGCAGAAATTCCGGAGGCTCTCCCTCAGACATTTGTGTTCACACGTACAACTCCTGCTGAGAAACTGTGGAAGAGTTCCAGAGTTCAGTGTCTGAAAGAAGCCAGACGCTGACGAAGACAAACGGAGACAAACTGGAAACACGAGGTAATAAAGGAGAGGCAGAGTCACTACCAAACAGCTTTAGAGTTTTACAGTCACACAAAACTGTTAGCATGGCCTTATACTGTATTTTATCTGTTGTTACAAACCGTGCTCTTTTATCTTGATAACACCTTATCAAAGATTCAACTGCACCACAGAAGTATCTCAGTCACACTCACGTTTATTTCAACCCACATAGGTTTCTCAAAAAGGAAATTCTGCTTTGTACATATCCTCTATTGAAAGTAAGCAAAGGAGTGGTCTTTGACCAGACAAGTAAAAGGCTTTCACTCAAAACCCTGCGCTCATACTCTGCGTGTGCTTGGATTTGTTCTGCTTGTGCAGAAACAGCTTGATTCAGTCTCTCTGAAGGCCGCTCTGTCAGGCAGGAGACAGATCATCTCTTCACAAGCGACACCACCTGGGGTCGATGTGTGTCTGCCAATGTTTTTTTGTATTGTTAATAGTTATTGTTCCCTCTGGCTAAGTGTTAGCTCTTGTCATTTTGTTTATGTGAAGCTCTGTTAGCACTAAGTAGTTTTTATTAGGTCGAGAAGTTGGGTAAAAATTAAACATTTTGGTGAGTCCCTATCGGTATACATATATTTTGGTTTAAGTAATGGTAAAATACATTCAATCAATGCTCTTAGCCTAAGTAATGATATTTACATCCATAGAAAAGACGTAATTGGGGAGGTGTATCAATGTTTAAAGTATTTATACGAAAGAGAATGTCTGACAAAGATGAAGGTAGCATTAACGACAGTTGTAATGATAGAGGTATTGCCAGTAATGGTAGTATATGTGAGCAGGTTTATTGTATATTTAAGTAATCTAGTTTTATAATCCATGATAAGCTGCCAGTCACAGCCACAATCCTGGATCTGCAACAATAAAGCACATGGGCTCTGGTAATGTCTCAGATGAGATAGAAAAAAAAAACCTGCTACATTTGTGAAGATCATCTGTTTGACACAGTGTTCAGTGTCATATTTACAGAGAAGTAGTTGAGTGTGTTGTGACATGCTTCTGAAACAGAAGTCAATTGCCTGTAAGATGTGAATTACATGCACACTGTGTTTTAGTCAGTAGGTGTCCTACAGCACAGCTGAATGTCGGCAGTGAAGGACCCAGCATCACTTCAGCAAACACACCAGCAGCTCTGCTGTTACATTGAATTTCATACTACATTAAGCATTTTGTCCTCTGTGACGAAAGGATTCTAAACTTTTTCTCTCTCGCTCTGTTTTGAAACGCGTCACGGGCCTGACAGCCGAACTGACAGTTTAAATGATAGTGTACCTTTCTGATTTCTTCTCTTCTGCTTCACGTCTCGTGTCTGCAGCCTTGAATGAAAAATGAGACGAGTGGGATTCTGCAGAAAAGTCACTTCATGTCTCTTCCTGTAGGCATCATGTGTCATCACAAGGACACACAGATGGGAGAAATTGGGAGTTTTTCTTCACGTGTAAAGGAAACACTTAAGAGACTGAAGAAAAAAGCAACCTGTGACTCCCTTTGTTAAATAGTAAATATTTTCTTTGTCTCTTTCTCCAGTGTGGGTCTGGGTCTGGGGCTTCGTGTCCATCACCATCATCAGCCTGCTGTCTCTGCTGGGTGTGGTGCTCGTGCCCATTATCAACCAAGGCTGCTTTAAATTCCTGCTCACCTTCCTGGTGGCGCTGGCAGTGGGCACACTCAGTGGCGACGCTCTCCTTCACCTGCTTCCCCATGTGAGTAAAGCTAGAACACAACTTATTGTACAATAGATAAAAAAACATCAAGTGGAGCAGTTAAATGTGAAATTTGAGGAAACGTTTGGTTATATCCTCCTGACGTTTTGGTTTGAAAACGCATCACCTCTGCTACTGATACACTTGCCCTCTACACTACTCTGCTTGCTGATTGGGTCTTTTCCATCACCATTTAGCCTCTGTTGATTTGTCAGGCTCCCATCACATGACCCTGCTCTGGAAGAAAACAACTGACATAATCCTCGACTACAAGTGTAGAACACAATAATCAGTTAGAAGCATTGATGACCCAGTTGTCTTTGCTTCATCCTGTTGTGCAGTTGTATTCTGCACTTTACAATGATTCAACTACTTACATTTGTTGGATACAAGCTACTAGTCAAGCAATCTGTGACAGTTCTTGTTTACACAGGCATGTGCATGCCCACTGTGCAAGAGTGATATGCAGGCACATCATTTAGTTAATATGACGTGTATCAAAACTCATACGGAGCCAAAACACTCTTGTGAACAGGGATGGTTTTTAGGACTAGTGTGTTTTTGTTTTAGCAAGTTTTTGTTTTTCTAACAATAGTCCTTAACTGTGACTTCTCTGTCAAAATCCAAAATTACTATTATGCTAGGTGAAAGCTTACAATACAGTTTTAAAAATAAAGTAAAAAAGTAAAATGCTTGTGTGTAAATCCAAGTTTAATAGTTTATGTTTTTGAAAAACATGAGAATTCAGTAATCATCCCAAAAAATAAAGCTTTTTCTTGAAGGTTTAAAAGCACTTTATGTCACATCTAATATTTCAGTGATTATCATCCATCGCCTGCTTCACCCACACTGCTTATTACACGCTTTTATTCTGTGTTCTTTCTCTCAGGGGTAAGAAGCATCAGGAATTTGATCTGTCTGACTAGAGAGATCAAATCTTTGTCCTGCTTTGGCTTCCAAAAGCATCATTCAACAGAAAAGACAGATAGATTTTTTTCTTTGAAAGAACCAGACATCCTTTCAATAAAGGTGGTGTTGTCAGAGCTGTGTTTTTAGATTTGAAAACTGCATTCACCCGAGGCAGTTAATCATGAAGTTTTACTTTCAGAAAGCTTTACATTCAATCTGTCAGTGCCCCGACCAGGAGGAAATGCCTTGTAGGGAACAGAAAACAGTGTAGTGGGGATGAAGATAGTTGTAGAGTGGTGGACCCTCAATCTCACACCCTGTCCTTTCAGAGAATATCTAGCCTATCCTGAAAGTGCCAATAGGACTAAAGCATCATGGGTACCGTGTTCCCGAAAAACTGCCTTTGGTCAAATTGCTTTCTCGATTAACGATTGTGGAATACACTTCCTCTAAACATTAGAAACTCGGGAAGTTCTGCAGTGTTTAAAACCAGCCTCGAGCTTTGGCAGCACAGAAGTGTCAGCACCATCATACTGTGGATCATACTGATTTTATTAGTCTCACACTGATGGACTTCAATGTGTAGTGTATTTGACGTCCTGTTGTTCTTTTGTCTACCTGATCAGGGACAACAGAAGCAACTTGCTAACTCTGGTACAATTACTTATAATTGTTCTCTCTCTTCATTAAAACTAACCTAAAATGATAAACTAGTTATCCTTATCTATCTTTCAGTCGTCTCTGTTCCCTCTTCCTCTGTTTTCAGTCTCAAGGGCAACACGACCACAGCCAGCCTCGGACGAGCCACAAGACTGATCTGGTCACAGAATTCGATGGAGTGTGGAAGGGGCTAACAGCGCTAGCAGGCATCTACCTCCTCTTCATCATTGAACACTGTATCGGAATGTTTAAGCTCTACAAAGACCAAGGGGTAAGATGAACATGACCCTGCTGTCGGCAATAGACCAGGCTGAACCTCACAGTAGTTTTCACATACTCCTGGAGGTGTTAGATCGTAAAAGTGTATCTGTGCTCACAGGGCATGAAGAAGTCAAGCGAGGAGGGAAAGATTGGCAGGAAGTTGTCAGACCACAAGCTAAATCGGCGCTCGGATGCAGAGTGGCTGCACCTGAAGCCGCTCAGTGAAGGTAAGAAGAGTTAGGTCATTTGCTTTGTACTGCTGGTTACAGTCCAGACGGGCTTTGCCTCTGTAACATCTCTCCCTTCTCCAGACCCCGACAGCACGGCCATCTCATGTGACAATGGGTACAATGACACACAGCTCACAGAGTTCCAACCCCCCGACTCTCCCACTAACAAGACGCCGCTGGCATCCGCACTCCCCCAACAAGACCAGCACTCACCCAGCAAGGAGGAGGGACATAAGGCCAAGCAGCACAGACATGGCCACGGCCACTCTCATGGGGGGAACTGCCACTCAGACCAGGAGATGAAGGACGCTGGTATAGCCAGCATCGCCTGGATGGTCATAATGGGCGATGGCATGCATAACTTCAGCGACGGCCTGGCAATAGGTAATTTATACGTTTTAATGTTATCTCTATTAGTTTTAAGTCTTCTGGCTCGCCGAGAAGATTGATAGGACTCTCATTTTACTATATGAAGCGTAGTTCAGCCTGATTTGCCAGTTGCAGACGAGATATGCAAGTCACAGACAAAAGCCCTGAATCTGTGCTCAATCGGCATTTGCGAAAGGCGAACTCTGCAAAGATGCGATCAGAGAGGCCCACCAACTCATCCAGTTTTGCTTGCGAGGATCCTCCATTTTTGTAGCAAAACAAAATGACTGGCTCACTACTGATAGCGGATCAGGGCGCTGCAATAGGACAAGCTGATTGTGATCGCTCTCTGCTGACTCACTTCTAGACTGTACATATTGAAATGGACAAGGTCAGTACAGTTCAAATAGGAACTTTTTACCCATGTTCCAATGAATGTTTAAATTTGGAATAAAAGGTGACAGCCCTAGCACAGGACGGGTTGAAGTTGGTGGGGGGCCGGTTGGGGGTTTCTCCATGTGACAGATCAAGTAACCCCCCGTTTGCCAGTCAGTCATGTAGCGTAAACAACCAATGACTGCAAGACTACCAATCACAAGACAGCACATTCTGTAGTCACTACACAATCATTGGATCATTACAACTATTTGAACTCGGCTTTAAACATATAGCTAAAGCTAGCAGCCAATTAGCCAAGGTCATCATAGAGGCTGAAAAGGCGGGGTTTCAATTATGTAGCTATTCTTTTAACGCCTTCTCTTTGTCTCTTCAGGTGCAGCGTTCAGTGCAAACCTGACAGGAGGCATCAGCACATCAGTGGCGGTTTTCTGTCATGAATTACCTCATGAACTTGGTAAGTGGAGCAAAACAAGTCATTTAGTCAGTGCACGCTACACGCTTCATTCATCCAACAAGAACAAAGCTGTTTTGCAAAGGCTGCACAGTCACTCACCAAATAACGTTCATCGATGTCTCAATACCTGCTTCAGCAAAACCGCTCTTTTTCTCTTTTCATCGGAAACTTGAATCAGACAGCGTCACGTGATCATCTGTCCCCTGGAATCTGTGACGAATCTCAGTGCTGTCAATAATCGTCACTCTTCTCTTCTCCTCGGAAAAATGTACTTGAACTTTTTTTTGCAAGATTAATGGCTTTTTTCTGACAGCAGCGAAATGGCCTGTCAATGTGTCTGTCAGCGCAGACGATGCACCGCACCTGGCACACACTGTTCAATACGGTCAGAGTTGATGACGGCACAGCTGCCGCCGGTGTGTTCATCTGTATTCCAATGTGTCATCCGCGAGGACCCGTTTGATTCACTTTAATTCTAAGTTTTGTTCCGGGCTTCCTTTTTTTCAGACTTCACAGCGCTCCTCAGTCTGTGTTTACAGTGTGAAGAAGAGGTGGCGAGTGCGTGCTGAAACAGACAGACATTGCACATCGGCACTAATGATGTGCAGTTTCCAGGCCTCATTTGTGTGCTTGATGCATAGAGAAGTGTCGATTAAGGCACAGTGTGAGCTGGTGAATCACAGCCTACGTTTGTCTGCTGCTCCCTCTTGTGATGACGAGCAGCATCACTGGAAACATGGGTTTAACTAATGTGGCAAAAACCTGCTTCAAAGTCTGAGAGAGAGTTTTTAATACAAAACAAATCTGCTCTGAGCTTTGATTTAAACATTTTTGTCCTTTACCATTATTTTTACTCCCGTAGCCTCGACCTTCCAGATGGTTAACCGCAGTACGAGTCACAAGTGGTGTGCGAAGATTTGCAAGATCTGCCCCTTTTTTTTTTTACTCCCTCTGTGTAATTTCAAACTTCCTGTTGATTCGGCTCCTGTTTCTGAGGAGCGCTTGTTGTCATGCTTTCACCCCCGTCGGGCCGCCTGTCAGCAGTTTGACAAGTGCACCTCTCGTCTCCTCCTGAGCACAAAAGCCGTCCCCCGACTGGCAGCTGGATGGCAGAGATGATGATTATGAGGCTTCTTTAACCACCCAGAGTGAAGCTAATTGGCAGTGATGTGTGTGTTAATTGCGGTAGATGAGGCAGTGGCAGGTGTGTCTGAAGGAGTGGAGCCAGGGAGGCAGGAACACGTCACAGTGAGTTGAAGAGGGGGAGATGAAAAAGAAGGAGCATTGAAGTGTGATGTGTGTGGACTGTCTCTCCTTAACTTCACCCTCTTCTTTCTGCGGCTTTGATTGATGGATGAGAGTGGAGCAGTAATATATTCATTGTGGTAATTAGCGAGGAAAAGAGGCCGCTTGTTACACGGTGCAGGAAATGTAGGCCACCCCCTTCTCAGTATTCATCCTTCTTCCCAAATCCAGGGCGTTTCCGCTGAGACTTGGGCCTCTTCCCGCATTTGGCCCGGCAATGATTGAAGAGGGTAGAGAGGCTACGGCGTGCATATGTAATCATAAGTGCATCAGGGGGGAGTTAAAGACATATTTCTTCGAAAGAGCAGCTCCTGGGCTGTGTGTTTTTTTTCACCTGCTTGAAGACAGATAGCGATGGCAGACGTCTGGAGGAGAGTTTGTTTTGAACAGGTTCGCCTCGTCACCAAAGTAAAAAAAAGAAAATCTAAAACCCACCGTGTGACACGTGCCACAGCCTCTCACCGAGGAGTTAGTGATGTGCAGCAAAGTGCACGTCACTGCTGCAGCTTCACACTTTATGTAACTTTAACATTTCGCAGAAATACATAAATAAAAAAACACAGGAGCTGAAAACATGACTGACGATGTCAAA